ATCCTCTCTTCATTCACACAAACACAACCGATTTCAGTTTGATTCAAATTTAAGGCTCCGATTCAGACTACCCCTCTGTCGCCACCGGAGAAAACACAATCCATAAATGAGGTCACAATCAGCTATGCTTCTTAGATGCGTGCGTCTCATGCGTGTCCTGCCAAGAAGAAGAAATCACTGCCCTTTTCTACAACTTGTTCTTAAACGAATCAGGCAGCAAAAATCACAGCTCCCTTCAATCTCTCTTCGCCTAAATCGATCGATCTCTCATCTATTTCTATATTTCCCAAATCACACAAGGATTGGTCCTCCTTATCTAATCGATCGCAATCCTTCCCTCTTCTCTCGAATTTGATGTTGTAGATCTATCATTTCAGGGTCAGATTTGGTGTTGTAGATGTAGACAATGGACCTTGATTCGAGATTTGTGTGTAAGAATGGTCACCAGTGGTAGTGGGTATGAAGGTGGTTGTCGGTGGTGGTAGATATGGCGTTCGTCGGAGGTGGTGTGTAAGAAGCCAATCACAAAATGTAGGCTTTGATGGTTGATTCAATGCTTTCCAGTTTCCACATTCTTGGAGAGAGAGAGGGAGAGAGAGAGAGAGAGAGAGTGAGAGAGAGAGACCTTTTATATATTTAATTATGTTTAATTTTTTCTTTTTTTAAAAAATATGAGAAAACATCATAAATGGTCCCTATGGTGGTAAAATGATGAAAATACCCTTCAGTTAACGGACAAACTTAACGGAGTTAGCAAAAAGGACCAAACATCAAAAGTTTTGAAAACACAGGGACCATCTATGAGGTTTTTAAACCACGGGGACTAAACTTTAGATTTTGGGTAACCACAGGGACCATTTATGATGTTTTTTCACTATAATATAAAGAAATATAAAAAAAACTATAACACTGTACATTTTCAAGACAATTTTTCTTTTGAGAAACATATGATTCTCGATACACATTTCATAAAACCTCATTTGTTTAGTTTACAAAACATAATCCCTTCTTAATTACTTCATAATCCAGGATCCTCGAAACATAATTCCTTCACTGGTGTGTACAATCAAGTCGGTGCCGTCCCAAGTTACTGAGAAAACCTGAAACACATAACACATAACACGGTAAGCACGAAGCTTAGTGAGTTCCTCAAAATACCACATGCAACACATATTAGCCACTCGAGGCTATAACTCTGTATGACCCTCTGGTCAATGTGTCTCAGTGGGACCCTCCAGTCCTATAACTCTATGGACCCTCTGGTCCTAACTCTGTGGACCTTCCGTTCCTAACTCTGTAAACTCTGAATCATACATAGCACAAATCACATAGAAATAATGCAGTGTACATCATATAAATAGCATAGAAGATACTCTGTCACATAACTCTAATTACCACTCTTGGTAAAGTATAGTGAGAAGACTCACCTCGTATGAAGTCGGATAAACTCTCGTGCTCGATATCCCGTCTTATCCTCCTCCTATCAAAATGATAACATCTCTAATCAATACTCTCTCATGTTCTCATCTCTAATAATGGGTAGAAGACCCTTCTACCCCTCTCTGGCCTCTCTTGAATCAGCTTGACTAAAACCCCAAGGTCAACTGAAAGTCAACTTTAGTCAGCGGTCCAACTTTGACCAGACTCGTCGAGTGCACCTGGGTGACTCGGCGAGTTCATGTTTGTCCTCTGAATCCTCCTATGGCCTCACTCGGCTCGTCGAGTTAACCCTTCACTCGATGGGTTACCACGGGTCACGAATCGCGGGGCAACCCGACTCGACTCGTCGAGTCCCCTTTATGGACTCGGCGAGTTCCCTCCATGGCAACACTCGAAAGACCTTCTGAGGTCAGATCTGCTTTTCTAACTTGTAGATCTAACCTTTTGGCAATCAAAAGTCGCGTAAAGGTTCAAACTTTACGTCCATGCATCACCTAAATAGCCATAAACGAAGAAATACTCTTCTAAATGGAAACCTAGACTCAAAACCCTCATAGGATAGCATAAAGCTAGATGGTTGGGACTCTCTGGACCTCTCATGGTCCAAATCTAATATCTACACTACATTGGGACACCTCATGCTCCATATTCCAACCAAAATGATGTAAAGAAACCCTAGATTCAAAGTAATCTTATCATATACACGACATGGGTATGAATTCATACCTCTAGAAGCAATCTCAGGTTGAATAGCAACAGATCCAAGCTCCTCCATTGATCTAGCTTGGAATCCCCCCTTCCTTCTTGCAAAAACACACCAAAAGAATGATGAATTAGCCTTTCCCTTGCTTTCTAAGCCCTATCTGCTTACTAGGGTTTCTCAAGGGTGTAAGTGGCCGCCAATGAAGGCCATAAGGTCCTTTAAATAGGTCTCAGGCCCAAGGATTTAGGGTTTCTGTCCACAACGCTGACTCGGCGAGTCAGATACCCGACTCGTCAAGTCCATCCATTTGACACGTCTCCAATCCGCGACTCAACTCGACGAGTTGAGGAGCCAACTCGTCGAGTCGCCCAATCAAACTCATGCTTACATATCAAAATATAATACCTCAGATATCAGCATGTTACAAAAACAAAAAAAAAACCTAGGTCATAAATACTTATGTGATTGGCGCTACCGACTTTTCTCCCACATCCACCTCCGGCTATCTCTCCTACTCCCTTCAACTCGCCGACCATCTCCATCTGTGTAAAGATGCCAAACAACACTCTATCCTCTAAAACCATTTTACCCCGATTTGAAAACTGGCTTTTTTTGAAACATTCATCTCCGCCTTTCACCTCCGGTGTAGCCACATCAACTATGGCAGAAAGTACAGGCATCTCGCCGGAAAATCGATCATTTGATGGCCACACCTGTTATGGGCAAAACCTGCACGATAATGCTTACCACTTCTTCCGATCAAAACATTACATTCATGTCGTCGAGCACAACAACGGCGGTCGCAGTTGAACCCAGAAATCCACCACCGGATGTAGTATAAACCCTTTCAAATACTCCAGAGATGTTGTCCGACGATTGTGTTCAGGGGAAAGATGGCGATTGCAAAAGGCTAGAATCCAAGAAAAGCTTGACAAGGAAGACCTAGACGACAAAGTGTCAAAGAGGAGATGAAAAAAGGGAGATTTTGATTTCCAGGAGTGTCGATTCAAAAGTTCATTGGGTTTTCTTAGTTGGGGATTTTCTGATTGGTAGTGTTAATTCAAAAGCTTGTTAATATCAGGTTTCATTTGAACTTTTGGTTTAAGGATTCATTCCTATTCTTAGCCTTAGTTTTATATTAAAGGATTTGATGTTAGGTTTGATTTCATTGCAGTTTTAGCGTATTGATTTTTTTATCTGATTTTGATGGATCGGAGAAATCCTTTCTGTTCTCGATTTTTTTTATTTTTATTTAGACAAAACCGCAAAAATGGTCCCTGTGGTATGCATTTTTTGGGGGTTTTAGTCCAAACCATGACTTTTTTGGCTTCGTGGTCCTTTTGAGCTAATTTCGTTGCGTTTTTAATCCCTTTGAATAGTGAAATGACTGTAATACCCTTGGCCTATTTATTTTTTATTTTTCTTTCATTTATTTATAAATCTAATACCAATATATTTATATTAATAATTAATAAATCAAGAAGGGGCCCACCTTCTCTCTCTCTCTCTCTCTCTCTCTCTCTCCCTCTGTGTGTGTGTGTGTGTGTGTGTAGGATTCCAAACATCCTCCTTGTCGCTTCGTCGATAAGGGCCATCGAACCCACTCCCATGCGTATTTCGCTATCAGATCACTCAAGAGGTGACCGGAAATAGCTCATCGCCACCGACTGTCTTCACCCTCCTTCTATCCATTCCATCGACTGAATCATCCAAACACCCCCTTTTCCTTTCTTGGTTGTTGCTCGTCTATTACAGCAGCCCAAGCACCCTTCCTCGTCATCTTCTGAACCACTGACTACAACGATCGTCTCCGTCTTCCTCCCTTCGCAAATCATCGCCGGAGGACTGCTTCCTTCCACCCATTGACCACCACTACTGCTGTTGAGAATCTCCGGTCCACCACCTGCTGCTGCCGTCATTGGTAAGCTCTCGCCGTCTCGGTCTCTTTAACTTCACCAGCGCGATTTCAGTTGTGTGCTTCATTTCGTCGATTGAAGACAACTGATAACGAATCGCAAAATTGCCTATTCCCATGACCTACAACTCACGATGGACTGATAGAAGGCGAACTGTTCAAATAGGGTAGGATTATTGATGATTCATTAAAGAATACAAAAGGAGACGATGAAGAATCAAATAGGATAGGATTAGGTGGAAAAGGGTGAAATTTAGATGGAGGTGTGATACATGATCAAGCCATGATCGATGCAATTAGGGCAAAGAGGGAGAGATTACGACAATCACGGGCTGCTGCCCCTGATTACATAACATTGGATGGAGGGAGTAATCATCATGAAGCTGAAGGTCTGAGTGATAAGGAGCCATAATTTCAAGGAAGAATTGCCCTGATTCGGGAGAAATTGAGGCTAAGAAGGGTGTTTTTTGACGTTTTTCTTATTAATGTGAGAAAGGAGAATGAAGACAGCAATGAGAGAGAGAGAGAGAGATTTCTTAATTTTTTAATTATAAAAATAGATAACAAATGAGAGAAAAATGAAAAAGAAATATCTCAAGGGTATTTTAGTCTTTTCAGTTTTTCGAGGGACCAAAACTACAAGCAAACCAACTCATAAGGACCACCAACCCAAAAAAGTCGAGGTTTGGACTAAAACCCCAAAAAAATGCATACCACAGGGACCATTTTTGCAATTTTGTCTTTTATTTATTTTTGTCTTGAATCCCTATGGGAAGATGACAATTGATAAGTTGTAGGTTACATGAACAAGATAAGGATAGGAGGGTGAGAAGTTTTGTCGGAGAAGGAGATAAGGGTAGGGAAGGTGGGAGGTCTTGTCGAAGAAGGATGGTGAGAATGGGGAGGTGATGATGGACCCATCTATTAAACAATTTTTTTCACAGCTTCATTTAATACATTAATAAAAAAAAACAAAATCATTAAATTAATATTTAAGGGTATATTGGTCATTTTAAGTCGGTTAGGGACCAACGACATAACAAAATCAAACTATAGGGACGATCCAAGTTAGAAAAATAAATTAGGGATCAAACGCGCAAATTACCCCAAACCACAAGAACCATCCGTATAATTTACTATGTTAAAAAGGATATTTTAGAGAGTTGTAGGAGTAGTTTTTGTGAGAACACAATATTCCGAGGGTGATTTATTGTAATTTATGTAACAGTCAAACTCGTGTATTGACGTTGACCTAATATTCTGAGTATCGTGCTCGATACATTATTGGAAAATTAAATATCTGAAGCAAATGAGCGATCCGGGTCCTAAGACAAGTTCATTTAACAGACATTAAATTCTTAGACCCAATTAATATCATATCATACTTTTCATGAATATTAATGATATTTGATTCATTTGTTTTTTATGATTTATATCATATAACTACAGGTTCAAAAATCATCAGAAGATGGGAAAATATATTTCTCAAAAATTATCACGTATAATTTGCGGCATTCTGTTTGAATTCATTATATATAATTTGTGTTATATTTTCATCTGAATTTTATAGAAATTAAGTATTGTATGTGTGCCCCACACGAATAGGCCGCGAATTTGAGGCCGTTCACTTGAACCTTCATCTTCAGAGTCAAGACTCACTATATAAACCCTCACGAGGGGCAGTTCATATATGCATCAATAAAATCCAAAAGCACCATGATTTGCATTAAGATAATGAATCCTTGTGTTTTTAGAATTTTCTCAGCTCAGACTACATCTGCCAACAAATGCTCCCCTCACTATATAATTTTCTCACATGGAAGAGGAGGAAATGATAAAGGTGTTATGAATAAGTGTCCGGTTAAAGAGAGACATGATCCCCATGGTCGGCTCTCTATGAGTACTCGTCCATGGGATCATCCCCCACCTCCAGAACGCGAATTCTTCCGTAAAGAGCAACGAAATAAGTGTCCGGTTAAAGAGAGACATGATCCCCATGGTCGGCTCTCTACGAGTACTCGTCCATGGGATCATCCCCCACCTCCAGAACGCGAATTCTTCCGTAAAGAGCAACGAAATAGGTATGTATATAAAATCTCAAGTATGAATCAATTGTTATATTCACATTTTATTTTTTAAACAACTTATCCCTTAAGCTTTCGCATCTCTAATACAAACATTTTTTCATTGATTTTTAGGCAAAAAAAATAAAAGCATTTAATAAAAAATATTTTATTCACAACTTATTACTTCAATCATATGAACTTCTCTATTTATATTTTCTTTATCATATATATATATATATATATATATATATATATATATACACACACACACTAGGTTATAACTCGTGGGAACCACGGTTACAAAATAAAATAAATTTTGATGGTTAAAACACATGTAATATACGGTTGATAAATTAAAATAACATTGATAGTAATAAAAAATATAGTGATTAATCATAAATTTACATACACTTCTTTGTGCAGAAACTTCCTTGTATAAGTTTTTCTAAGTGAAGCTTAAAGTGAATGGTGTATTCCAGGATATGTGCTGACAATAGAGTATATATAAAACATATTTTGCTTTTCATTGCATTAGAAATCTACCACAACATGAATATGTTTTTTTTTGTACTTAGTTATGGGCAAAAAAAAAAGTAAAAGTACATTTCTAATATTCGTAATTGAACATATAATTTCTAATATTTGTAATTGAGCATATAATACCAATGGCTAAGTAATTGAGTGTAACAATTAAACAAATCATACATGTTAAAATGTCTGTGTAAATGACCAGAATACCCTTCATGTGTAGTATGAGATATAATCCAAGTACCTTATGATGGCACCTCATATCGAGTAACTTCCATTTTGATCCAATTTCGTACAAACCAAACCATGTTAAAGAGAAAATGTTAATTTGTAGAACTTTTACATCTAAGCGGTTAAGTTAAATCATTTCGATCCTACTAAATTATTTTGACATCACACATTCATCTTAACTATGATAATTCATGATTTCTATAACACTGTCACCATCATTTCACTCATTTTTACAGGCTTTTCTTGATCATCATTTTTCATGTAAAGATGTGACTAAAAACTTAGCATATAATAGCAACACAAATTTAAGCAAATCTACAAAATGTTGAACCGTAACATATGGCAAAACTTACAAAAATCTACTTTCATATGAACCATCTTTTTGATAGAATTCCTCTTGCGAATCTCCATTGTTTACATTAGCCATCTAAGTTGTTTAATAATATAAACACACTAACCAAACAAATAATCAGAAAACAAAAAAAATATATCATTTAAATATTCCAACACAAACAATCAACAGCCTTCCTAATGAGATAACTACAAATCATTGAAGATCAAAATCTCTTTCAAGATGATGAAAAAATCTTAGATTAGTCCCAAATCAAGGGTTAAGTTACTGCAAAAGTAAGCTACTGGTGTATAAGAGAACCTACCTTGCTCAATGTGCTTTCCAAGATATACAACTTCATTTTATTCTACCCAACTTCAGGATTTAGATAACATTTAATGGAGAAAAAAAGCGAACCTGTTGTTAAATTGATATATAAGCAATAATTGGAAGAAAATTTGATAACTTTTGAATGTATTAGGTCCTAATAAGAATAAAATTTGGAAGTACAATTCTAGAATCGGGTTTTTGTGTAAAAATACAATGAAACGAAATCGCTAGAAATTAGTTGATTCAATTCCCCTGTAAGGTTAATTTAGTTTTTGCCTAAAAAAACACAACATGTTACTTCACAAAATTTGAACTTCATAAAACACTTATTCAAAATAACTTATAGTATAAAATACATATTAACAAAATTCCCTTTTTGGATTCGTCCTCAATATTATAAAGCCATATATGAGTTTGCTTTAGGTCATTTTTAAGGTTTTCGTTCACCTATTAGAAGGTGTACTGAAGATCAAATTGAGGTTTTAGAGAGAGGTGGAGGTGGTAGAGTAGCAATGGTGACATAAACATATTGACACAAAGCCAACAAAGAGCATATCCTAATTTCATCCATAAATTTCTAAAAAAATGAGTCAATTTTTAAATAAATCATTATCACAGTAAAACAATTGAAATAAATTGAAAAATGAAACCAAGATATTGTAGAGAACAGAGAAGTAGAGATCTCTATTTATCTTAATCATTTTGATTTGTCGTGCTGTTCAAATCCAACCTCAACCTCCACTATATCCGTTTTGTCCTTCGTAAACCATCATAATCAGAACTATAAACAAACTTTAAGTGTTACCTACAACAACACATCAGTACAACCATTTAACTAGAACACAAAATGAAAATTTAAAAGAAATTACATGAAAAATAAACCAAAGGATTTTTTTTTAAATGCAACGTTGCTTCTTCATTTGGATTCAACCCCAAATCTTTTACCTTTCTTTTGTCAATTAATTGTTATTCAAAAAGAAGAAGATGATGAGATAAAAGGCGAAAGCATCGTATCAAGATCTATCAATTTTAGTTCTAAATAGATAACATCTAACAACAACTAATTTAATGGACCAAACATCAACACCTATTAGTTCAATTAGAAATCGATGCATGTGTAGAAAGTCTTTATGACTTTTCCAGTGATTACCTTTGTGCTTAGTCTTCCATTAGATGTAGCAGAGCCACCAAGGTTCTATAAAGAGCATAATCAACAAAGATAGATGTTATTTTTATTAATAAAGAACATAATCAAATAAAGGTATTGTATCTAGATTTTTTTTTGAAAATTTTATTCAATATTAAAACCCCACCAGCAAGAGGCTAGTGAGGTGAAAATTGTTACATTGTTTCAGATACAAATGAGAGGATTTTTAATCCACAAACTCCATTCTAACTTTGCCCTGTCACCACGATGTTTAACCCATACAAAAGTTTGGGACTTTATAGTAGAAACTATTCTCGTCGGTTGCCATTCAATTTTGTTGAAGATTCTATCATTTCTGGCTCTCCATAAACACCATAATGCACCGAAGAAGATCATGATTAATGTTTTTCTTTTTTTGGGGCAATTCCCCCATTTGGTAGCAAAGTCAATCATGTTAGTGACCGAATGGAAAACCGTCACTTGAACGTTACACCAATTAAAAATCGAGTGAAAAATATCCTTTGCTAGAGGACACGAGACCAGGAGATGATCTCCTGTCTCTTCTGACTCTCGATAGACTCCACACAAGGATGAGTCCAATACAATACCCCTATTCCGGAGGGCACCAAATGAAGCAATCTTGTTTTGTTTAGCCCGCCAAACGAATCCCAAGACTTTCAATGGAATCATTTTTAGCTATGGGAACCTTCCGTCGCAAACAGTGAAATCTACCCTTTCTATTTAGATGTTCTAAGAAAGCATATATATATATATGTTCGAAGAAAGTATATATATATATATATATATATATATATATATATATATATATATATATATATATATATAAAAGANGACGAACATAATTTTGTGAAGTCGTGAAACCAAATTTTTTTTAGTGAAATATATATAATATTCTATTATTCGTAAAAATAAAATATGCAATATATTCTAACATTATATGTTTTAGAATATTTCAATGTAAAATATATTAAAATTATTGGCTTAGAATATTAGAATATTACACA